TAAGCATGAAGTTGGAGATGAGATGGAAGTTAGCACAATGTTTTAACCTTACTGATTTGCGCGATGTGCTGATTTGAGGCTGTTCCAAGGCAATAGAAGGTATAACAACTGCAAAGAGCACAGCCTTTCATTGGGATCACCAGGGAGGGGACATTGCGTGACGCTAAACCCAAAGGATCCACTGAGGGATCTACAGTGAGTTTCTGCCCCATACGAGAAAACTACATCGACTGTCACGCCTAAAAGAGCTCCTATTACAACAACAACATCACGTGTCCAGAGGTACCCAGATTTAAATTTTCAAATTTGCGGCAATACTCCTTCACAAAATATCGGAATAGTTCACCACTCTTAAGCCAACTAAGCCAATAATATCAAATATTACACTGATAAAATTAATTTAAAAACTGTAGTTTTTTTTAAGTTTCTTTACCTACCTTTTGCTGTCAATTGACATCTGGCATGCACTTGAGCAACATGGTCTTCATATCTGTTTTGCGGCCTCTCATCCTTCCATTTTATATTTAAATATCAGTAAGTAGAGGAAATTTGCCGAGAAGCTGAGGGGCTCTTTAGTTCCGGGCCTTGTGCCAAAGCAAGCTGCCATTTCCCTGCAGACTTCTCACAATATCTACCGCCATGTCCCGCCATGATGAAGTGAACCAGTCTTTTCCCCAGCTCTCCTCCCTAACGAGGAAACGCGCACGTTTCACGAACAACAATGCGCGAAAACGCGGTAAATTGCGGATACTGCGCGGAAACACGTAAGCTTTTTCGGACTTTCTAGGAAAGGGCTCCTCATAGTCATGTAGGGAGAATTTCCATCATTTTCCTTACTACTTCTAATATAAGAATATTTACTTTGGAAAGGTAAGGAATAAGGTTCAACGTTTACTAAGTTTCCAAGTCAGAAATATCCGCCGTTTTATCTTTCAGACTTCAGAGGTGAAAAAGTGTGTATAATAATCATGATTTTTCATATTACATTCATTTTGAAATCACTGGTGATCCTTGTGATCTGAATGGCTGTCATTGGTGCAATTTATTCAAGAATGGTACCATTTTTGTTTGGAGTCGCATCTTTTTCCCAACCAAAAAGGAAGCCTTATTAAAAGACAACCAATTGTTGGTTTAAAAAAACCAATCAATTTGCCTGAAAATGAAAACAACTTTTGCAACTTTCTACAAACTAGCTCACTAATGGATTAACAAAACATTTGTACAGACTTAAAACTCTTGAATCTGAGCGAATTAAAAAATGGATGAAATAAAGTGGTAAATTCATTGATAAATTCCTTGGATTAAAACCACATAGAACACACAAACATTGCAAAACATCACAAAATAGATTTTCCACCGGCATTTCATGTAGCACAGGAAAAGGAAAAGGACAAAAGTAAGATTTTAAGAAGTGAACAAGGATTTCTGATTAGACAGCTAAAGACCAAATTTAACTTCCAAAATTTTCTTGACGTAACAAAAGCTGATAAGACATTGAACCACGCAAATATGTTGTTACAAATTATCCTACTAAAGAACGTGATAGCTTGTTCTTGTCTTCGACCGAATTTACAAAAGAGAAATTGAGAACAAATCGGTCCAAATTTTCCCGCCAAAGTCAATACGAAAAAATTTTCTATAGCTTTTTTTAATTAGAAACAAGACAACATTTCCTGTGTGTATTTGCATTTGTCAACAAAATTGTAACAAAAATGCCTCAAAATGATAAAAATGGTATTCTAAAGGTGGTTGTAGGTGGTTTCAGGTGGTTTCAGGTGGTTTTGGTGGTTCAGGTGGTTTCAGGTGGTCGTAGGTGGTTGTAGGTGGTTTTAGTTGGTTCAGGTGGTTTTTAGGTGGTTGTAGTTGGTTTTTGGTGGGTTTGGGTCATTCCATGTTTTTGCAGCTACCCGCGTTATGTACCCGTTGGAGAGAACACATCAGCGCTTGATCACATCGCAACCTTCCTCGTCCAGGCTGGTCTCTCAAGGCGGCCCTGTCGACTCACTGATGGCTTCATTTCAAGAGGACCCCGAAGGTAAGATGTTTTGTGTAGAGAATAATTTCAAATGTTGAATTAGGGCTCTTACGATGGCGGCGACTTTGCCTGAATGTATTACATGTTTGTTCTAAATCGCCAAGCAAGAAGGTGGCTTAGCGGCTAACCATTTCTGGAAGTTTGGGTGTACTTCATATGAATTCGCCTTATTCTTGACATTTCAAATATTTTGTTGCTCGACTCACGGCCACGGTTTCACAAAGACTAAATGCCTGGCAATCTGAGATTTTTATCTACCTGGGTAGCGTTTGAACACATTCTATCTTTTCGAATTGTCTAACAATTACAAAACAATCAATGGTCATATACAGTTCAGCTGGTATTTGAAAATCGTATCAAGAAATGGTTCATTCCTATGCCTCAACTTTTCTATCAGCTTTTCCGATGAGCGTTACACAATAGTCCTTTTGTCCTGGATAACGCTGAGGGAATCTAGCCGAAGCTAAACGGAAAAGTTCGCAACTCATCGGAATTCATGTCGGCAATAACAATTAAGCTGCACTGTGGAAGTGGGTAAGGTAAATTTGCACTCGTCGGTGTTGCCATCGAATTGATGATAATGCGCTCAGTAATTTTTTGAGTTTGCTATAAGCGAGCGCGAAGGTGCGACTTTTTTCCTTAAAGAATAACAGATATCGCACCCGTAATTCTTTTTCCCAAAACCTGTCATAGTTTCGAAATGAATTGTTCTTAGCATTTCAAGACTAAACAATTCACTATTTGAATCCAAACGAACGCTCTTATCGTTTTTCCCTGGCACTGGCTCTGACTCTCTTGTGCTTCTTTATTGTCGACCGCGCGGCACTTTGTGTCACTTTTATTCCTTGAAGCAACAAGCGAAGTCTCTCGCGTGTAAATCTCGAGTGAAACCTGTCATAAAGAAAGAAACAGACTCGTGATTTAATAACCCTTTGAATGTAGCCTGCATCACAGACGTAATCTAACCCCGACAGGTAACTCAACAAGGGGTTTGGTTTAGTTTGGTTCCCTCTAAAATTGTCGAAGATAGATGGACTGCGAACGCAACAGTTTATGATTGCAACGGCACGTGCTTTGCTTCCCGGGACAAGCAATCCGATTCCAAACAGAAGATTTGCGACACAGGTGATCAACAGAAACATGGACCTGACATGAATACAACGCTCCCCCAAAAAACGTTTCATCAGTTACTTGCACTAACCTCTCGGCAGCATTCCACTTACTATCAGTAATTACTAGAAAATAAGAGTATTCAGTCAAGTGGACAATTAAAAAAATTAATCTCAATATACTGCCTGGTCAGGACATCCAGTTTTAAACTTCCTGACGTTTGCTCTCGTATCCAAGTTTATGGACATCCTGAATGCTAAAAAGATGATCGTAAGAGGAGGAGGCATGGGGGTGGGGGGCTGAGTTAGGTGCGGAATTACGTAAAATTGATTCAGTGCTTGAAAGAACGAGGTTTGTAACATATGCGCTGTTTTATTATTCTTTTGTTATTTTATCAGATGTAAATGAGCAGTAGGTGGCTTCCTGAAATCTTAATGATACGATCCCACTCCCCCCCTAGAGAGTGGGGTAGAGGGTTGCGTTGTTCGCTGACTGTTGACTTTTTCTTGGAACTACACTATTGCTTACTGAAATATTCATAAATTGATTTTGCTTTTGCCAAACACATTATTAGTGCCCGCACTCAATGTTCTGAACCTCGCTGAATTATTCTGATTCCCCTTTCCCAATTTTACTGAACATGTAGTTTGATTTTCAGCAATTGTATCTATATCCATACCTTCTTCTGATGAAGATGAAGCTGGTAAGTAATTATGGCAAATGTTACTTCCGCTTCTTGGATATTCAGCAGAGGATATGAGAAGGAGAACAAATGGGGGCTGCTTAATTGGAAAAATTGGGCTTCTAATTTGATAGAAAAAAAAGAGACAAATAATTCTGATTTCCACATAATTCTAGCGACTAAGCAGGGAATCTAAGAAAGTTCCAGTGGGGTAATGGCAGGAAAACTAGCACGTCCGCATAAGTTTATGAAATTTAGCAATTTTTTTAACCTTATGATCTTTTCCTTTTAGACTTTGTTGGATATCTTCCAAGTAAAGCTCTTAAGGTATGTATATCTTCATTTAAATATTGCAGGATATGTGGACTGCTACACTTTTTAGCCAGTAATTGATATATCAGCAAAAAATGCCAGGATCACTCACTAGAAGGTTAACATTTTACGGGTTTTTTGAGGTGGGGCCACTTCAGTGCATGAGTTTACGATTTAAATGTTCATTTTATTAACGCTAACTCTTACTTTTCTTGATTTAGTTAGAAGAACCCACGAATTCAGAGAAAAATAATTTTACACAGAGGGACAGTCAAGTCAGGTACCCACGTGTTTTATAAAATAGTAGGTTATTTGGTTATTTCATAAACAACCAGTTCATTGTCTTAAATGACCTGTTGGTAACCTTGCATTACTAGGCACTGCCATCGCTGATACAATTCTATTCTCGCAGAAACCACTAAATCTGTTACAACATCGTAAAAGATTTGCCCTGAAATCTCAAAGTTGTTTTCCAAAGACTTGTTGCCGACATGGAAATATCTTAATTCAGTGTACTGCTAATAAAAAAAAATTGAAGGAAGAAAATCACTGGTAAAAAACTCTTTTTCAACAAGTCTTGAAAGCTATAGAATCGTCGAAACTTTTGGCTCGGATTGGCTAGCTAGATGTTGCCGCGAACGGTGACCAACCATTTGCAATATGAAACTTTTAATCCACGAAGGCTTTGAGTTAACTCGCAAAAAATTTTACCTCATTAGCTTAACACTAAGACCAAAAAATCGAGAAACTAAACGTGATAGTGAGGTTTCGACTCGGTGGCCTCGTGGCACCGTTCGAGGATGCCCACCACCGCGCATGCACACAAAAAAACTGAAATGTCCCGTATGGGTACCCAAGCAATGGCTGGGCGTCGACCAGCTGCTACACTAGCAGCTCATTCTCATTCCCTCATTGACCCTCATTATATGATGTCCTATTACATTTCAGGGAAGAACAATTGCTGGGGGAAACTGATCACGAAACAATTCTTAACACCCTTCTTCAAAACCCCATAGAACTGAACTTAAAAGAGAAGCCTTCAGCCATAAGGGAAAACAAACTTTTCACCCTAGACATGAGGGAAATCCCCATATCCTCAGTGGAAGCAGAAGATAATGGTGCATATATATCAAAAGGTAATGCCAAGAGACTATTCCAGTACAATAGCAAAGGTTCCCGCACTGTTCACAAAAATGAGAACGGAGCATTTTATGCAAACGTCAAAACCTCTAAAGGCTAC